CAACGAAAACGTTTTTAAAAAAGATCTATTTTTGAGAATAACCAAATACAATGATGTTAATTGAATGAGTTCTGAATCGAGACTGACTGCAAAGTTCATTGTACACACCAAAATAAAGAACAAATGAAATACAATACTGAAACTGATAAGAAAGGAACGTGGAGGCAAAAGTCCTTGTTCAGCATCTTCTTCTCTATAGACTGGTACATAACTTATATATATATATATCCTTGAATTTCTTTGGGTAGAAGCCAAAGTATTGCATAAGCACACTCTTATAACTTAGACTCGAGCTTTCGAAGGTCTATGCCCTAATCGTCTGGAGTAAGTCGGCGAGATTGTTGGTGAAATTGTTCTTAAATGACAGTGAAGGGAACACATAGTCGACGAACAAAAAACTGGACCGATGAGGTTCGATTAGGACGGAATTATTTTATTAATAAATGGCAAATCATAGCTGTTTTTTTTTAATATTTGAAAAATTCCCTTTAAGCACTTATTGATTTGGAATAACTTGAAAAACTATCAACTATTGAAAATTTCTTCGAGATTTCATTTTCTCCCTGAGAACCTCCACATTATCCAACACGTGCCGGCCGACTCACATTCTACAGTCAGACTGATGAAGGACTAAAAATTTAAATAAATTCCGTCCTAATCAAACCTCACTGGTTCAATTTTTTGTTCGTCGACTATGTGTTCTCTTTCACTGTCATTTAAGAAAAATTTCAGCAACAATCTCGCCGACTTAGAAGTAAAGATTTTCCTCCTTATTGTTTATTGTTGCTATTTTTTAAAATTGTTTTTCAGCTCTAGACCATGATGACATAGACCATCGAAAGCTCGAGCTCAAGTCAAAAGGGTGTACTTATGCAAAATTTTGCCTACATCCCAAAGAAATTTAAGGAGATTGTTATTTTGTCATACCGGCACCCATGAATTTCAATGTTATTGTAGCACCCACATGTTATACGAATATGATAAATTATGTAGTTATGGCATAATGCACATACAGTGCAACTGAGGCACCCTTCGTGTATAAGTTTTACATAATTATGCTCGAAGGGGCTCCCGACAGCGTTACCTATTCGATAGCTTAGCAGCAGAAATGATGTTTGCTTCCTGTACATTGAGCGCCGCATATAGCGTTAAACCAATGGATGATTTGGTGGTTGAAGTGCAGAATTTTTACAAAGTTGAGTACACATTTGAAGGATGTATTGTTCCTAACTATCAAGGAATCGATGTGGGGACACATGCATTTGATTCTAAAGATTTGGTTTGTTAATTCATCTACATTTAACGAAAATTACCATATGTCATATTCTATAAATCACAAAAATATCGAAATAATTGTACTATATCTTGTGTAGAAGGATATGAATAACTAAGGGAACAAAACAGCTTACAGATTGCATTGTAAGTTTGAAGGATAAATAAAAAGATCCAAAATAAGATCGAACTAAATTTCGTTAATACATGTATCTCCTCAGATTCACCCTATGGTTATCTACCATCCATCAAGTCTACAGTGATTCGTTATTAAAAAGCGTGACAAACATTCTGTCTGCTGACGGCCTTTTTCAAAGTACATAAAAATTACAAAATGTATGAATTTCTTTAGGTTAAGTAACCGAAATCTCATGGATTCCTCTTTTAACATCCTAGTTTGGCAGGATAGACACGACGCTATGTTAGAAATAACACTTTTTTGCCAGCTATTGTTGGTGATATGAGATGTTTAAGTTCTAGCTTTTTGGTAATCAAATGCTTAGAGTTCGCGGATAGCAGTAGTGTACTTTGTCAAAAAATAGTATTTACAAATTTGACATCATATAGGCTGAATTGTACACCAGTGTATGCGCAGCGTTCCATAATACCTGTATATAATATGCTAAATTGGTGATAAATATCGCCTTGTATTGAAACATCGTCAGACTTTCAAGATATATTTTCAGTCTGACGATGCTTTGAATATAGGGCGAAATACGAGTTACGCCACTGGAAATGCATAGGTTCGAAGAAAGAAGACGCTGCATCAGCTTTTTCCATTCTTATCTTACACGCACACTTGCATTGTTATTCAGATTCACTTTGCTTTTGCTACAATCAACTCTGTAATTCTTCTTAATAAAAATTTTGTTAGTTCGGTTTGAAAACAAGTATTTTAAGTTTCTTTCAAAAACTCATCGTCCTAACTGGCGCAGCCAGTAGGACTCTGGTCGAGAAGTTCCGCCGCGCCGCGAAATTTCTGTGAGTTTCAACTCTTAACGACTAAACGGATCTACCTGGAAGGGAAGAATTACTTGGAAGCCGGCAGGAGTTGAGGCCAAGAAGTTGGACTTATCAAGTGGACATTGGTGAGCCACCCTTTTTCCTATAATTCCTTGCTTTCCGTGTTCGTTCAAAGGCAAAGTATCTCCCTAGGGTACCAACGAATATGGTAATTTAGCGTTCATTTTAAGTGGATCAATGCATATGATCGAGTCTAAGAGTTAGTGAATATAACTTCTTTAGACATAAAAATTAAGCAAACTAGAGATAAGAAAACAGAATCAACATTAGCTAATCCAGGCGATGTGGACACAGCTATTTTTAGCAGATATTGCTAATAACACACAAAATTATGATCAAAATCCGGACCCTAATGAAGCAGGTCCATCTTCTAGAATAAATATACTTCAAGATGTTCGTATTCCACCCCCAAATTCATCAGATGACGAAACGGCGCATTCTCTATCTAAATAAGTAGAAAATAATGGCATACCTATACAAGAAACTATAATCAGTAATAAATTCAATCAAATTTATATTTATAAAGGTAGGCAGGATAAGATCACTGTAAAGAAGGAAAGTTGTGGTAATCATAAAATTATTAAAGTTAACATTCCTCCAGAAAACAATAAGAACCTAGTATTTGACTTTATGAGGGATTATTTAACTGATACGATATACTATATTTATTTTGAAAATGAAGAGTTAATTGCTGATTTTACGGACGTTTATTCTGAATATTTTAGTAATAAATTACTGAAACTGATTAGGTGCACAAGCGGTGTCAATACCGTCCCTGACGTAGACGACAGGTTATGTTAATAAAAAATTATCATGAAGGAAAAAAGAATCACCGTGGTCTAGAAGAAACACTTCAATCATTAAAGAATAAGTACGATCAGCTGTTTCCTGTAATAACTGAAATGAAAAAAAAAATCCAAAATATTTTTCTTAGAGAATTTAGACAGAGACGAGGATTAATTAATTTAGGCGGATCCATAAGTAAATGGTTATTCGGCACGTTAGATGAATCGGATGGTAAACGTTTCGACAATGCTATTATAATTTTGAGCTCAAATCAAAAGAAAATCATTAAGGAAATAAACTGTCAAATTTCCATGGCTAAAAATTTTGTTGAAAAATATTCAAGAGCCATTGATACAACCAGTGAAACTCAAAGGAAAATTTCTGAATATATTGAGGATTATACAGCATACCATCAAAACATAGATGACCAAACGCTTACATATACAATTTTAGTAAGTATGTAAGTATGGTTTTTATTGGTGCTAATGTTATTATTACCTTCCTAGACAATTTGGAAAATGCAGTCACATTTGCTCAATTAACCCCTTCACATCCAGGTGCAATTTAAAAAGGCACTTTCACATACCAGACGAAAAAAAAATCGAAAATGAAATATTAAGATTACATAATGACATACATCTTTAACCACAGTTAAAATATTTCATGAAAGTCAAAAACAGTGATTCATATTTTATGACTATACCAGTATATCCACCATTTAGATAATAGTGGCATACCATAATATCCATATTTGGATATCCATGTAAAAATAAATCAAAGTCACATTTTTTGAACATAAGTGCTTTATTCATATTTTTTACATAAAATAAACTAGTAGAACGTAACATTGGTAAACCGCTTAAAATATAAAGTTCATTTGTGGTATTCTTGAAAATGTTCCGGACAACAAAGCCCTGGCTTATTTGGACACTCAATGCAAATATTTCGTGTTAGTTTCCTTTGGTTGTGTTTTCGGCAAATAACGCAGATCTTTCGCAATGCCCGTTTTTTTCCATCTTCCTTTGGTAAATTAACCATAACGTGTTCTTTTTGTGTTTTTTTTTGAAGTTGAAGGTTGATTATAACATGAAGAAGCATCCGTCATGCAGCGATATCCTTCACTGTATTTGTGCAAAATACCATTACAGCACAGTTTTATATGGTCATACATCGAAATGTTAAAATCATCTTTAGCGTTACAGAATAAAACCTTAGAATTTAGAAGCATCTGAAGCATTAATTGAAAGCCCACTTTTGTAAACCAAGTATAGCTTTTTCGTAAAGAATTGTAAGGTTCCAGATCTTGATCGACAGCGTCAACAGAGCCCATATTTTGATTATAAAATTCAATGTGGGCAGGTTTTTTAAAATGCACTTGTTTACCGCCTACCATATAGCGAGATTTTTCAAAAAACCCTGCACTATGCTTACTTGTCAACAAGTAAACATCCTTCTTGTCCTTATATCGTACAAGCAGTTGCATGTCTTTCCGTACGAAGCAGGATTGGTACCTTTCTAGTGGAATTCTAGTTAACTGAGCGGGAACTCCACGATTGCTTCTTATAGTTCCAGTCAAATAGGTTCCTTGGGTAAGTAACAATTGCGAAAGCCGCACGGATGTATACCAATTGTCTAGAATAACTTCTCGGCCACTGTTCAGTATATTTTGAGCTAAATGCACGACAATTCTTTCAGAAACAGTGAGGTTTCCGGTGCCTGGAATATGGGATACATCGAAATTGTCTTTCCCTACGTACAAACAAAAGTTCCAAGTATATCCGCGCAAATGTGGAGCGCATGGGCACATTGCAAAAAGTTTTACGCCAAATCGATTTGTTTTTGTTTTAATATATTGACGAAAGTGCAATCTGCCTTTATAAAGCATCAAATGTTCATCTATTGCAAACACTGGTCCAGGGTCAACCAACGTCTTGCAGTTGTCTTTGAGCATGGACATATAAATTCCAAGTCGGCTTAGAGGGGCATTGTTTCTTGCTACATCGGGTGGCGAAGACCGAATAAACTTGAGTATAGAAAGATACCTGTTTCGACTCATTGAAAACTTTTGGACCAGTGCACAAAATGTTATTACTCCAGTAATCTGTTATGCGAGGGCACTTTACTAATCCAGTAAGAATATGAAGCGCGATGAAAACGTACATCTCTTCTTTTTCTAGTTTCTTCCACTGAACGCCATAAACTGTCCTTGTATTTGTATTTTGTTCAAAGTACATTTCAGCTCTTCTGTTCGTCCACTCACTTAATTTCGCTACGATATTTGGGCTTAAAAAACATTCGAAACAATTGACTGGATCTCTGCACTCTTCCATATCAATGGCGGGGTGAAAAGTATATTCAGAAGAAAAATTTTGCGTAGCTCTAGGAACCTGATCGGAAAAAGGATCACTTAAAACTTGCCATTCGTCCATGGTCACGTTTTCGACAAGTTCATCGTCATCGGTCTCCGAATATGTTTCGTCAGAGTCACTCATATCCGAAATATCACTTAACTCATACTCCGAATCGTCATCACTATCTGTATAATAGTCCTGGACATTCATTTTTGATAAATAAAACTTTTACATCCAAACAACACTGAGAAACACGATAAAACAGACTTTCCCGCCAAAACGTAATTTAGAGGCATACACGACCGCGTACCAGCGTGACTACTTATGTACTAACAGTAAAAATATTTCTGTGGAAATATTTTGGATATTGAAGAAATTTGGGTGGGGATGGCTTGTATGCCATACCAGTCGGTCTAATTGATAGCAGCTCGCCATACCAGTTCCCTGCTCCATAACATAAGCCATTAACAATGATATCCATATGTGGATATTATGGTATCCAGAGAGCATATTCAAAATATCCATATGTGGAGTACTGGATGTGAAGGGGTTAAACATAGTTCACCCAGATATTTTGACAAGTAAAGATCTATTACAAATTTTGGAAGAGATAAGAAATTATTATATGCCTAACGAAATTTTGAAAATCAATTTACAATCTAGGTGTTCAATAATTATTAATGTTAAATGTTTTTTTTTTTTTTTTTTAACATGTAATTGGCATTGGAAGTTATCCATTTGCCACAGATGTGTGTTACTTATATTTCTCTAATTATGGACAAACACGCGACGTCACAACATCCATGGCGAAGGCGAGATTCGAACTCGCGGCCCGGCCGGTCGGCTGATCAGTAGCACGACACTCTGACCAACGCGGCCAACCGAGGCCCCAATGTTAAATGTTATTTTCATGACACTAAGATTATATTTGCCATTGAAATACTGATTATTTACCCATAAATCCTCCAATATTTCCAGTTATTTCCAATCCCTACGAATGAACATATCTTAATTATACCACAAAAACCTTGTTTGGCTCTAGAAGACAGAAGCTATCAATATATGGGACATCCCTGTGCCCAACTAGAAAATTTATATATATGCCAACAAGAAGAAGTTAGGTATAATCCTGGTGAAGACTGTGTCTCAAGTCTGATCTTAGGAAAACAGTCAAAATGCCAATTAGTACCAGTAGAACCCGCAGAAAGATTATTTAGCCGAGTCAATGACGAATACTTCATTATCATTACTGAAGAAAAAATACTTTGAAATCAAAATGTCCAGACGAAGAGTATTTTTACTGTCCTAGGCAGCACTTTAGTAGAAGTTCCCGTAAACTGCAATATAGAATATCAAGACTACCGTTTTGGAAATAGACATCAAAAGACCATTGGAAAGCCCTTAGTATTACCTTCAATAGCTAAAAATTCATCAGTGGAATTAGCCAACCTAAAACTAAGACCACTGAAATTGGGAAAAGTTCCATTAGAAGATATGCACGAAATCCAAAAACACATACAGACTATAAACCAATTATTGGTGATCGAAGACGTAAAACCGATTGATCAATCCAATTGGTCGCTATTGTCAACAATCGCTGTAATATTAGCCGTTGTCGCCGTCCTTACTTCAATCAAGTTTTTGAAGAAGAATTTGAAGAAACACAGGAAGCCTCAACAAGTTACGAAAATTCAAGATAGCCTGCCTTCAGTGCTGTTCCAGCCCGAAGCCGTTGTTTAAGGAGGGGAGAGTTACGCCACTGGAAATGGATAGGTTCGAAGAAAGAAGACGCTGCATCAGCTTTTTCCATTCTTATCTTACACACACACTTGTATTGTTATTCACTTTGCTTTTGCTACAATCAACTCTATATTTCTTCTTAACAAAAATTTTGTTAGTTCGGTTTGAAAACAAGTATTTTGAGTTTTATCAAAAACTCATCGTCACAAGCTCCCGTCCTAACTCGTGTCTGTCATGATCTTGTATTAAACGTAAAACGTGTGTACGTATCTCTGATATACAATTCAATCAGCAGAGGGTACAGTAACATTTTTTGAGTGAATGTTATTGTACGGAAACTTTTGCATATTTGTTTGAAACTTGCATATAACCAAGGTAGATAATTTTTGGATTATATGGCTATTTGCTCTTTTAGTAAGTAGTGAGCTATACGGGGTGTCCCAAGAGTCATGTAGCAAACGAGAGGGGGAATTAGGGAGGATTCTTTTGCAATCATAAGAACCAAATATGTTCTTATCCGATTGTATACGGTGTTTGAGCTATCCCCATTTTCAATAATTTGTGGAAATCGATACTTTTTTTTTGTCTTCTGTTATTTTTCAATCAGATTTACAGGATATGTTCCTAAATCATGTATCCCTGGGAAAAAGCTACTAGTGAAATTTTTTTTACTTAATGTAGGTACACCAATAGGCTAATCTGCAATTTTGTTTCTTGTCAAAAGGATTACGGCATATTCAACGAGTTCTGTACAAAAGAATAGTAGGCGGATAATCTGTCCATAGTGATGAAATACTTCTCGATATTAAGGCCTTCCAAAATACTTATTATAAAATCAAATATCACTAAACGGTTTGTGTGCAAAGTAGACAAAATGCTGCAGTTTCCCTAAATCCGGAAATTCCCATTTTTTAAACTCAACAGTGAACTGCCATTGATAATCTTCTTCCATTCAGATAGGATGAGCAAACACTCATGTGACAATCATTTCTCAAGCTTGAATAAATTCTAGGTCTAATCGTTCCAAGCGATGACGGCCTTGACATTATTTTGGATGTTAAAAGCATTCAGGCCAATTCCCATCTATGCAGCATCGAGCGGCGCGACGCAGAGCGACGCCGAGCAGCATGAAGCAGCGCTTTTATTACCCTCTCCAGACTCACGCGCGAATCACGGCGTGAACTCGCGGCTCGGATCGCGGTGCGAATCCCGAAATTTCTTCCTACAGTTCCACACTCGCAGATGTTCGCGCCTGCTTCACAGTATAGTTCGCGGTCTTGACGAGTATGGATGGTGAAATTGCTAGTGCTGCTGCAGTGCTACTTTGCGCTTTGGCATTTTATAATTACGCATATATAAGTAAAACTAGAGCAATTGAAAATAAGTGGAAAAAACACAACCACTCCCGATACTCGCTATGAGGCAACTGAACCACCAGCGAATGTGGAGCCTAGTCATGTTCGCGCCTTGCGAACCCTTTGTCGCGGGACAAAAAACCGACAACAAACGGGAACAACGCGCGAACGCGACGTGAAGCCGCGAAGAATACGCGAATGGGATCCACACTCATGGATCGCGGGTAGTTCGCGGCTTCGCGCGCGAATCGCGGGTGAGTCTGGAGAGGGCATATGTAATTGTTCCCACCTAAACAGCATGAGGCAGCATACGCGACGCGTAGTTTTGATCTAGCCGTCAAGATGTCATCATCTTCGTCATCAGATGATTTTATATTTGTCGTAGCTGTATGCCATGAACTTGAAAAGAGAAAAAAAAGCAAGCGAAAATATTGGGTCCATGACATATTTCGTGCAAGGCTGAATGAAGGCGAATTCCATACACTTTTCGGACGACTCCAGCAAGATGAACAGAAATTTTACAAGTACTATCGAAAGTCTTCAGAAAAATTGAACCAACTAGTCGATCTCTTGCGCATTCCATTAACGAAGCAAAATACAAAATTTCGGCAAAGCATCAGTCCACAGGAGAGACTGACAATTTTTCTAAGGTAAGTAAATAATTCATTTAATCTGTGTTACACATTTATTTTTAACTGATGGAAATATTTCAATATTGTTTTTTATTAACGCAACAAAAAAAGCTAATAGTACGCTTGATACTACTGATTCGAAAAAGAACACTAGTTAACAAAATAATCCTAAGAAAACAAACAAACTCACAGCCAACAAAAACATAAAAATATAATTCTTCACTAACAATTAAATGACTTATTATGACTTATTATATATCTTTGGCATGATTAGTGAAGTAATGTTGGATTTTCATTAGGAGGTAAGTGGGACCCGAATAGTGAATAGTATGTAGAAGTGTTTTCACAAAATGAAGAAGATTCGTCTTGTATAGAGGTTTGATTTGGCATTGGCGATCGAGTTTGTAGAGGTGGTTGATTCTGCATAGGTGACTGAATTTGCGTTGGTGGCTGAATTAGTACTGCCTGATGAGGTTGCATTGGTGGTTGATTGTGAGTCAGTATTTGATTTTCACTTGGAGTTTTGTTTCCAGATTAAACGAAGAATTTGATAACATTTGTAATTCGTATGAATTTACTATTTGAAACACTTTAGTCTTCACCGAAGCTTGCCACAATGGGGGAAATGTAGCTGTAGTTTTGCCCATATTAACAAAAAATTCTATTAGTGGGCTGTTTTCATTTATTGGTGTTACTTGATCTTTGGCCTGCTTTTCTAAACGGCTACGTTACATATTCTTTTAATATTTCCGGTATTTATTCAGCATTTCTGGCTGCAAGTTTAATTTTTTTGGAACGCTCGACACTGTTTACACTTGTAGCACGGGATGCTGGTCTTGAAATATCTACGCTTGAAGAACAAGACAATGGTGTGTTTGGCTGTGAAATGGAACGTGGAAGATTTGTACTAATTTCATCATCATAATATTCGCACACGTCTTCTCTCTGGCTTTGTGTATTATTTTCCACTTGAGTTTCGACATCATCGTCCTCACTGACATCTTGCGATATTTCGGTAACATTTGAATGAGTTCTGAAATAAATATGTTACTGGCTATTAAATTCATAATAATAGCATACTAAAATATAAACGTACTCTCTTCCTTTAATATGAGGCTGAAGAAAAGCCATAGCATACCACTATTTCCATTTTTTGTTACTTTTGGCAGCTTGTCCTCTTTTTGTTAGACTGTTTCTTGCTACTCTCTGAAAAGCATCTCTGCTTACAAACCTCGGCTAAAAAAGTACATGCCATATTATTTTTAACAATCACGAAATTTAAAAAAACTATATATTTATAGTATACGTTTGATGTTTTTTTTCAGGTTTTTGGCAACGGGAGCAGACTACCAGACACTGTCTTTCAACTTTAGAATAGGACACTCCACTATACACAAGATTATAAATCATACCGCCAATGTTATTTGGGAGACTTTAGGAAACATTGTTATGCCACAACCCACAACACAGTTACTTCAGTATTGTGCACACAAATTTGAAAGTACTTGGAACTTTCCTAATTGTGTGGGTGCGATAGATGGCAAGCATGTCACTATACAAGCACCTCCCAGAAGTGGATCCTTGTATTTCAATTATAAGAAATTATTTTCAGTAGTGTTGTTAGCTATTGTAGATGCAGAATATAGATTCGTTGCGGTGGATGTTGGAGCATACGGTAAAAATAGCGATGGTGGAATATTTAATGATTTAAATATGGGAAGAAGTCTTAAAAATGGAACTTTTGGAATGCCTAAGGATCGAGCCATCACCGCAAATGGCGAATCTTTACCACATGTAATAGTGGGAGTCGAAGCGTTCCCTTGTAAAACTTATTTAATGAGACCTTATTCAGGACGCGGATTGTCACAAGATAAAAGGATTTTCAACTATCGTCTCTCAAGAGCTCGTAGACTCTCCGAAAATGCTTTTGGAATTCTTTGTCAAAAGTTTAGAATATTCTTGAATAAATTAAATATTCACCCAAAAAATGCCGATAAAATAATTTTATCTAGTCTATGTTTGCATAACTTCCTTAGAAATGACAATGACTTTTTAGCCGTACTAGACCAAGAAAAAACAGAAAATGAAGCTCCAGTTTTTACAAGTATAACTAACATTGGAGGAAAATGAAGCAATTAAAATAAGAGATGCTTTTAAGGCATATTTTAACTCTGATTCGGGGGCAGTTTCTTGGTAGGAGGATGCAATTAATGCTGGAAAATGGTAGACGTTTTGAAATTTGCGTTTTTTTAAAAAAGTCATTAATGCTTAAAAATGTTGCATATTCAGTTGATTTATGTAATTGTTAAGCAATCGAGTAACAGTTTAACGAAAATATCCTGTTTGTATTCAATTATTTCTTAAAAAGGACCCGTCAACAATAAGTTCTTTCATATGTTATTTAAATGGATAATTAAAGCAATAGTTAATTAGCACTTACCTTTTTCATTAATTTGATTCCCTATTTCCAACCAAACTATATCCCTCCTATTTTGATTACTGTAGTTTTTATTAGCCATATCGTATAATTCACTGTATTCACCCACAAGAAGGATAAGCTTTTCGATTTTTTCTCTGACTTTTTGGCAAAATTCAACAAGTTGCTGCTTGTATGCGAAACCTTCTATTCCCACCTGCCCGTCAACCAGCAGAGCCGCGCATGTGTAGCGACAATGCTGCGAGTCAATGCTTCACGACGAATTAAAATTTTGCTGTGTCGCGTTGCTCTGCTCGGCGCAGCGCCGCTCTGCTTAGGTGAAAACGGTTTCATTTAATTACAAGTAGACAATTTATTGTAAGCAGCATTTGGCTGCACCGCTCGGCTCTGCGTCGCGCCGCTCGATGCTGCTTAGATGGGAATTGGCCTTTACTGAAACCGAGCAGCATTACCTAATCGGGTAAGCCCAATTATCAGGCTTATGTTATTCAAATAGAAGGCAGTAAGTCCTTGAATGAGATTATTAGATCCCATGAATGTGAGGTTTGAGTTTTATTCCCCCTATATCCCAGGGGTCATTTTTTGTCATGAAATATGTTGCAGCTCTGAAAAGAGCCCTTCTTTTTGGTCATATTAGAGGATATATACAGATGTTTGAAGTGTCTTCCCTCTGATATAATGCAAGCTCTCCATCATTGTAAAAAATTCATTCCAACCCGCTGTATCATGCGTGAATTACTGCGGAGGCTGTTGCTCGCAGTGGCAATCAGTCATCTTAAAACTTGTACGGTAGAAGTTTCAGTATAAAACACTAATTTATTCATATAATCCCATGCAAAGAGATTAAACGGTGAACGAGGCGGCCAGGTTATGGTTCCTCCTCGCCCTATCCATAGATCTGATTATGTGTGATTCAAGAAATACTCGACCTGGTAAATTGTTTTGTAGAAAATTTAAATGGTAGCTCAAATAGGCCTATTGATTGACCATTCACTAGCCCAGCTCATAAGTTGACTCTGAATCTGTGTTATCATTCGTGGATTTTCTAGAGCCAAGTGATGTAAGTAATGACTCTTATAAATTCCTTTTCTTCGAAAATAAGCTTTGTCCGCTCATAAGATTATTTTGAAGAACCGGAAGTCGTTTCTATACCTACTCTTGGAGCATCCTCCTGCAAAACTGAACTTTCTTTGGATAGTCTTCTGGAAGAAAAGCCTGCACACCTTGAATGTGAAGCATCTCTTTGGAAGTACGGATCTTTGTTTATCTCATCTACATGCTTTTATCAACATATTGGTCAGGGAATATGGTGGGATTTCCATAATACTTCTATTACTCAAAACCGTGTCTGTATCCACAATATATTCAGTTGGTAGAAAATCAACAATGGCACTTAAAAGGTTAAGTTAAAATAACCAAATTTCCGTATTCAGCAGAATTTTGTGTACTTTGTGCAGAAGATATTTCAAATACCTGATTACCTATATGTATTTTGAATGACCACAGTATTGAAAAATTTGTTATCACTATGGACACTTTATCTGCCTATTCATTTTTTGTACAGGCCTCGAATATGCTGTAATATTTTAACAGACAAAATTGCAGATTAGCCGATTGTTGTACCAACAATAACTGGACTAACGACACATCATTTGGAAATATATCCTGTAAATCTGACTGAAAAATAATAAAAGACAACTTCAGAAAAAATAGTCTTAAAAGCAGCGACTTTCGGAAAATTACTTAAAATGGCGATAACTCAAAAACCGTGCACAATCGGATGCGAACATATGTGTTTTTTCTGATCGCAAATGACTCTCTACCACCCCCTTTTGTTTGTTTTGTGACCTTGGTGACACCAATTTGAAGCAGGTTGGATATTAAAAAAAAAGGTGTCGACCAATTTTTCAAACTTCTTAAAGTAATTATGTACATATAAGATAATAGATAAACTATAACAATAATTAAAAGAATCCGACAACCATTTATCGATTGCTAAAAAGTTTCTGATAACTTCAGGGCGTGGTTAAACATATATTTAGAGGGCATTGACATTTTACAACTTCACCAAACCTCATTTTCCAACGTTTACCAAGTTATCGATCTCTATTATAGTCGTACTCGAATATTTGTTCATCTGGTATTACTTCTTAAAGATGTATTTTAGTGTTAATGTAGGTTCTAATTCGAATCCTGTGGTTATCTTGTTTATCCATTTGTAACTTCTGTTGTCAAAAAGTCAAACTACAGAGAACAGTATAAGCTACTTTATCGTTCTATTTTTTGTATTTTAAACGTTCAATTGTCACTTTCAAAAAGCCGAAACGTCTGTGAGCTAGCGCATTGAATCATCTGTGGTTCTATTTTTCAGCCAGACGAGGTCAATGGATATTTTGTTTTTCGACACCATAGGTATATTTATGCAGTTACGGGAATATCGCGTAGAAAATACCGGGTACTATTTAATACGTCTCCAGTTCAAAACCGTTTTGAGTAAAACTAGAAACAGTATTTATGAATGTTTATCACTTGCCGACTTGAACATTTGAAAAGAAAATATACCAAGTCAATCAACCTTACATCGTAATAGTACATAGAATATCTTCAATTTGTTGTTAAGTATGGTTAAAAGCAGAAAACATCAGGCGTCTGCCGTACCACTAGTTTGTTTCTTTCCGAACATCCCAATTGCGATCAAAACGCCGACGATCGAGATATTTATCCCTGTGGCGAAAGCTATGAGTAAAAGAAACGAGCAGTATTAAATCTCATACTTATGCAACGTTGCCACTGAACAGATTACTTAGGGGGTGCCAGGTTCTTAAACTGTTACACTATTTTTAAATCGATGTGTAACATGTGGGGCGATCTCTTATGAAAATCTGGTTCCCATACAAAAATTTGTTGTTTCGTCGGTACGAAGGTGGAGATGCAAATCCAGTTCTTTGGGATACAAGACAAAGTGGCACCCAAAATCAGGTGCCACTATGAAAATGACATCACATATAACAATTTGGTGCCACAATTACCAGTTTTGCATCTATATATACATATATATATATATATATATATATATATATATATATATATATATATATATATATATATATATATATAACTAATTTTTCGGGATAACGTAAGTGCCTTTCTAAAAATATTTATTTCCGAAAATACAGTAGTGGATGGTACGAAAGTTAGATTAAGACTAAATTTTAATTATACAAGTACAATGTTCGTAAAGCATGAGTAAAACAGGAAACATATCATGTTGCATTTCAACGGTTGCTAGGCGCTGCGATGATGTGCTGCCTTGCATTTTCTATTTTCTAGCTTCTACAGGGTAGCAGTAGAACTCCTCCACCCCTAGAATGAAGCTTCTCCCGGAAGATTCAGTTTCCTGGAAGGTAGCTCGATTTCTTCTGGATCATTTGTATGTGACTTCCTGGGAATTGGAGCAGGATGTGCATGTGCATTCTTATTCTTCTTGAACTTTCGATAAATAAGCAGAATGCCCAGAGACGTGAATAAAATGTACAAGATAATAGTCCAAGCACTGGGTGTGGTATAATCGATTTCTTCAGATTCAATTGGGTTGAATGACTGAATATCTTTCATTTTTAAAGTCCTTAGTTCGATTTCAAACTTCGGCTTTTGATTTTCAGAAATTAAAGTGAAATTTGGCGTTTCCATGACTAACGGCTGGCCAAAACTC